AGATACATAAACTGAGTGGATTATATTCCTCCACATAGGCAGCATTTATTATTTGTGAGACATATTATCATAGTAATTTTATTTATAAAGCCAAGGAACTCATGGTGCTGTAGAGCAATATATAATAAATAGATTATAAAAACAAAATCTAGATTAAAAACAACACTCTAATAAAATCACCATCCTAAAATTTCAAGAGAAGGAATCGGATACCGAACAGTGGAGGAAGGTGGGGAGAGAAAAAGGTGTACCAACGATAGGTTTCAGACATGGACATAGTAAAAGCATTATTATACCAATATTATTGATTTCCTTATTAGGCAATACGTAACGTATTTACCAATAGAAATTTAAACTATTTATTACTTACCTATTTACAATTACTGACCATGAGAAAACATAACACAGTGTATCTATCTATCTATCTATCTATCTATCTATGAAATGCATATCTGTCTGCCTGTCTGTGAATCTGCTTGTTCAAGAGCTTTTCCTAACTCTCCCAACCCTCACGCTCAAACTTACACACACATCCCCAGGCCTCTGCCCTGCTCCTCACACTCCCATCCTGACTCCTACACCCCCCTCCCCTCCAGTCCCCTTCTTTGAAGGACCCAGGCAATGCCGGGTAAATCTTCTAATGAGAAAAGTAATTGCAGTGATTTCTGATCTGTGGGTACATCACTGCAGGTCAAAAGTTGAATTATACTATGAAACTTCAGCTGTCAATTGCATAGATTAAGTTGAAATAGCTTAATTCAGCTTTTGGCACTGTCTACACTGCAGCAAGTTCAAGGCAGAACACTCTTCCTTCGACTTCCCTTACTCCTCGTGAAATGAGGGTTGCCATGAGTCAGTGTAAGAAGTCGTCCAGCTTGCCATCATTTCAGAATAGTGGCTTGTAATGTAGGCATGCTCTTTGTTATTTCGGAATAATGCTAGTTATTCCAAAATGATGCTGTTGTGTAGATGTACCCTATATGAAGAATACTGATTCTTTTTTACATTATCATAATATCCATACTAGTTGCTAGAAAATGCTTTACTCCCACTCTGATGTTCTTTAATTCATTTATATAACATTTCTCATTCTGCAGCACTGAAAATTATAGAAGTAAAAGGACATAATTTATATAGAGAGTGAAAAGGGTGAAAACACGGTAGCCTTTGAGACTATACAATATACTACAGTATGAGATAAGAGAAAAAACAATATTGCATCTGAATGAAATGGCAGAAGAAATTCAAATTACAGAATTTGTCTAGGACAAGACCTATCCCCATGGAAAAGGTGTTGGAAAAGGGAGGCTCGATAGGTTACAATGACTTGACACATGGAGAGAAACCCTAGGGATGGTTAAGAGCAGAGAAAGGTGAAATAAAGAAAAAGATTCCTAATGAGCAAGAGACAAGAAAAGCCAAAGACCACAGGTGTTATCCCAGGGTTTCAAAGAGATTAACTACAGGTGAGTAACAAAAAACAGGACTGTGTAGCACTTTAAAGACTAACAAGATGGTTTAATAGGTGATGAGCTTTCGTGGGCCAGACCCACTTCCTCAGATCAAATAGTGGAAGAAAATTTTCACAACCATATATACCAAAGGATACAATTAAAAAAAAGTGAACACGTATGAAAAGGACAAATAAAATTTCAGAACAGAAGGGGGATGGAGAGAGGGGAAGGGGGGTAAGTAAATGTCTGTGAGCTAATGATATTAGAGGTGATAATTGGGGAAGCTATCTTTGTAATGGGTAAGATAATTAGCGTCTTTATTCAAATTTGCGTGTAAAGTGTTGAATTTAAGCATGAATGACAGTTCAGAGGAGTAAGGAAAGGTTCAAAGGAAAGAAAGAGAAAGGGGACCACAATGGAACTAAGGACAGATTGTAAGAAATGTGAGAGGAAGGGGAGCCCAGAATAGTTGATAAGAGACTGCTGGAAGTGGGGAGAGAGCCAAGGGGATGCAAAAGGGAGGGGGAAATTTCTAGAAGCAAGGGAATACAGAAGTGAACTTGAGAAGTGGAGGAAGGAAAAAATAAAGATCTGGTTAGGTGGGGTATTGAAGCCAGTAGAGCAAAAAGAGGAAACAAGGCATGGGTAGAAGGAGATATTTAGGTTCTATTTCTATATGGCTCATGTAGGCCGTGGCTCAGCAAAAGGGGCTGGTTTTGAAGAGACATTGCAAAGTTCCCTAGTTCTATTTTTCTATAACCCCATCACACTAGATACAAAATACACAACAGGGCATCTCTTTGGTAAATATTTTGCAAAAATGGTTAATTTGCATAAATATTTTATACTTAGCTTTAGTCACTTAGGACAATTAGTATGCCTGTGCTTACTTCAGAAATGAGAATGCAAATGGAATCTTCACTAAGGTAGGATTAATTATTGAGTTTTTGGAGTCCATTTAATTAATTTTCTCTACATATGATGCCTTTCTGTCTCAGTTGTTGATATGGCAACAAAAAGCATTCTTTTCTCTCGGAATTGGTTGTTTCACTTCCTTTTGGATCACAACTTTTCATATGACTATTTCCATGTCTTCTTACCCCTCTCCCTTACAAAATATTTTACCAGGGTAAAACTCTCATAGCGTGTAACATCACTTAAGCTCTTACAATAGGGTTTTGATGGTGCTTTAGCAGGGTATAGGTCTTGCTCTTAGAATAGTCAGTCATAGAGAATAGCCCTGTCTTAAAATGATAAAATATCATAGAACTTACATGTCTCTCTATGACTTAATTGTCATTCCAAGGATAGATGGAGGGAGAAAGTGTTTAACATGTATTGGTAACTAGAAGAGTTTGTTGTATTTCATTGTTAATTTACATGTGAGATTTAGATATCTAAATATAAATATGTATATGGGTTAAATTTTTGTTTACTCTAGAAAAGATATTACCACTGATAAATAAATCAAATGCATTTTGTTGCTTTATTTTTAAAAATGTGAATGTGTCACTATATGTTTCAGTGCATTAGTTGTAACAAATGAATTGGAGGTTTGGTTTTTTTGTGTTTTTGCTGCTTATAGTCTGTTTTAAACTGAATACAAAATAAACTAGCTTTGAAAAGTAAAGGAGAATTTCAAAAGGGGCAAGGTAAAACAAATGGTAATCTTTGCAATAATTTATAGGGGGTGCGGCAAGGTCCTTGTCCAGGCCTCTTGCCCTGGGACTCCTTTGTCAGCCACAAATCACAGAAGACCCTCTGTTGTGCAGTTACCCATGTATTTATATTGCTTGTGCCAACTTCCCACCACCTTCTATTTACAGAGCTTTGTTTTCCTCAACTACCTTCTCCTTCTGGCTGGGATGGGCACACACTCAGTCACTCTCTGGGCTCCCTACTTTCCCTCTAGCTACCTTATATAGACCACTGGCTAATGAGGCCCACAGCTGCTTCCATTAGCCTGTCAGGCCTGGCTCACTCAGCTGGCTGTAATTGGCCTTTTCAGCCAGGCTGTAGTGGCAGAACTCTGGCTTAGCCAGTAGTCTGTCACAGGGGAAATATAAATAGTATTGAAGTTTACAGAAAATGTTGGCATATTTCCCTAAGTATAGTACTGTGTCTGATTTTTCACAGTATCAGTCACTTAAAGCAATTTAGGTAATATTCTGGCATGAATTTCTACTATTTTATTTATACCATTTGCCTAGCTCATTGGAATGCAGTGCCTTTGCTGTTCGGTACAGTAAATGCACTCTATAATATCTATTATGGCATGGTCAAAGGATAATTTATTGTCAAATAGAAAAATAGGTCAACACTAATGTCACTTGATGATCAACCCCCCCAAGTTTAATAAAACATCTCACCAGCATGCATTCTGTGCAGTGGCTGATATTTTATTAGAACTACAGTACCTGACTATAGCAGTAGTGTAATTACTGAGCTGTCAGTGTGATAAGTGGGATTAATGGCAGCCTGATGCACTTTAGTCTGCAGAGCACTCGGAGAACTGGAAGATGGTATTATTATCAGAATGAGTCTACTGGCATATTCATGGCACCCTTCTCCACCAAAAAAAAAAAAAAAAAAAAAAGAGCTACAATTCAGGTTTACATTACCCTACCTCATTAATATATTTTCAATAGCTGATATTGTGAACCATTTCAATAATAAAAATTTGTTTTGGTAAAGATACTTAATAAATACAACTCTCTATATCTGATTATTCAATTGTCAAAATTATACTATCATTTACACTGTCAAAGTTTATTAATAAATTGAAATTCAGTACAGCTGTTTTAGAGAAAGAACAACTAAGGCACCCAGACCTTGCCTTAGATCACAGAAGAATTTGCTATAAAGCTAGATCTAAGAAAACATATATTGTCAGATTGTGAAGATGGGTTAATTCAGTGTTTCTCAGTGTTCTGTGCGTCTGCTTTGGGATAGCTGCTTTTTATTGACTTAAAAGGTCCATCGTCACAGAGTCTCACATCTCCCTTTGGCTCTGGTTTGCCATTTCCAGCCAAGGCACTGGGCTCCTATATAATGTTCCGTGCATAATAAAAACGGTGGCATTTCCTCTTTTGAGTGCTTAATTTTTCAGTCTGAACATTCTTTGAGCATATTTGTGTATGTAATATAACTGTAGATTGTACATGCAGAGTAGTGCATTTTGTGGATCTGCTTGTTGTATAAGAAGGATGATGTTCTGGCTAAAACATCCAACTATAGCGAGATCAGAGTTCTCTCTTTGGCTCATCACAGCCTTCTTGTGTGTCTTTAGGGCTATTCTTTTAACATAGCTGTGCTTCAACATCCCTACTTTAAAATGTGAAGAGTAAAATTTATGTCATTATGTTGTTGTGCGAGTTAATTCAATGTTTATAAAGCACTTCAAAATCCTTATATGGAAGTCTCTATGAAAATGTAAACATTATTATCTATTAGATTATCAACTTATCAATGTGAACATGAAAAATGTTTGCTATTGGCAGTATTTGTACTGTATGTTTCTTTAAGTCATTTAATTTTTTTTCTTAGGTGCTTAAAGTGTGCAGATGCTCCTTGTCAGAAGAGCTGCCCAACTAATCTAGACATCAAGTCATTTATCACAAATATTGCAAATAAGGTAAAAGCGGGTTTACAGTAGTAAACAAAATGCAAGAACAGCAGTTGCTTGTATTTCTCCTTGTGTGATTGAATTACAATCCTTCTCTTTTGTAAACTCTAATAAAACAATGTTTAGAACCTGTATGATCAAATTTAACAGATTCTTCCTAATTTTTAATTTATTCTTACTGATATTGTTCTTTGGCAAATTGTAAACACACAGACTGCATGGTAAATCTGTTTCTTCAGCAGATTTATTTCTCATTCAGGTATTTGTTCTGGATTGATTTAATCAATTAATAGTACTGACACTTCAGTGTACTGTAATGAATTCACAGCATTGTTACCTGACTCAGCTACTGTAGTCACAGAGCATTTTTTTCCCCATTACAAAATAATTCTTTGCAGGAAATTATTACAATTTTCTTATTAAAATTTGTTTGGGCTGACACTTGCCTTATAGATGCCCATCTCAGGGATGGATGTTTTTTGTTATCATGGTTCTAGTAAATAAGCGTTATTATTTTTATTTATAAAACACAATAGTTATTAATAAATGACTACAACAATAAATAGAATCCACTTTAGTAAGGTGGACTATTTCCAGACGCTATCCTGTTAATGGAGAAAGATATTTTCTCTTCCACTCAGATGAAATGTTACTTTTTAACAGTCAAAAATACAAAGTTAAAAGTGATTGCACAGCTAACATGAAAATATATAAAAAAACAACAAATAGTCCTGAAACACCTTAACAAAAAGTGTAGATAGTATCATGTCTGTGTTAATCAGGCTATAAGGAACACTCTAATCCTGAAAAGTTATTAGTTATCACATTCCTTTTCAAAAACTCATTTAGGTCTTTTGGTGAAATTTGATTTGCTGTTACTCCAGATGAATTGGGGACTTCTGGTATGACTTGTGGCTGTTCTGGGTGAGAGGTTTACAGCTGCAGCTGGCCACCTGTCTCAAACATGCATCCTGCCAGTCCTGCCACCTGTCTCACACACACATCCTGCTAGTCCAGGAGTAGATATGTTAATTGGTTAACTGGCAAGCATGAGGCTTACTGCTATGCTTACCAGTTAACCAATTAACAGGTCCCTGCTAGTAAACTATGGTGGTGGCCAGTTGCACTGGGTCGGAACAGCACTGGCCACAGAGGGCATGTCTACATGAGGAAATAATTTTGAAATAAGTAAAATCGAAATAATAACTCCCGAAATAACAAAATTGAAATAGCAGGCCCTCACTATGGGGAAACATCAAAAGCTCAGAATTATTCTTAAAATAGCTCGTGCACACTGATTGGAGCTTGCCTTGGATTTAGAACTCATAGAGGCACTCTGGAGAGGGCACTGGGAAAATGGGCACTTCCTGTGGCTGCCTGGTCAGGTAAGCTGGGAGACATGCTTTGAGGGGTTCCTCTCTACAGCCACATCTCACACTCTACTCCTCCACTGCATACCCCCTTGTGAGACACAAACAGATTCAGTGTGCTCTGGTTGCCCATGTGGATACCGCACCACTGACACCATGGAGCTGGAATTGCTCCGCAGCAGTGTCAGGCTCACAGGCCTCATGCTGCACCTCATGGCACAGTTCATCCAGACTGTCCACATGTTGCCGCAGCAAGACAGTGACCAACCCAAACCAGAGGACCCCTTCACCTACGTCCTGATGCTCCTGTGTCTTCAAATGCTCCTAAACCACCTGGACACCGTACAATGTCAGAATACCTGACTGCAACCCGCCATCCCCCTGCAGAAGTGTGTTGACATTGCTCTGTGGAAGCTCACCATGATGGACAGCTACAACTCTGTCAGGGTATGTCTACACTACCACCCTAGTTCGAACTAGAGTGGTAATGTAGGCAACCGGAGTTGCAAATGAAGCCCGGAATTTGAATTTCCCGGGCTTCATTTGCATAAAGCCGGACTCCGCCATTTTTAAATGTCCGCTAGTGTGGACTCCGTGCCGCGCGGCTACTAGGCTTCCTAGTCCGAACTACTGTTACTCCTCGTGAAATGAGCAAGCCTAGTCCGAACTACCTAGTCCGTCCCGCGTGTAGCCGCGTGGCACGGAGTCCGCACTAGTGGACATTTAAAAATGGCGGGGCCCGGGTTTATGCAAATGAAGCCCGGGGAATTCACCGTCCCGCGTGTAGCCGCGTGGCACGGAGTCCGCACTAGTGGACATTTAAAAATGGCGGTGCCCGGCTTTATGCAAATGAAGCCCGGGAAATTCAAATCCCGGGCTTCATTTGCAACTCCGGTTGCCTACATTACCAACCTAATTTGAACTAGGGTGGTAGTGTAGACATACCCTCAGGAATTAGTTTGGCATGGGGAAATTTACAGTTGGGCCGTACTTCTGCAGGTCCCGAGGGCCATCAACATCCTGCTACGGAGGTTCGTCACTGGGCAACATCAGCACGATCATGGATGACTTTTGAAGGCTTCCCCAACTGCGAGGTGGGGTGGGAGGGGCATAGACAGTGCCCACATCCCCATCCTGGCTCCCCACCACCATGCCTCGGACTATATAAGGGTGTACTTTCGATGGGACTGTAGGCCCTGGTGGACCACAAGAGAAGTTTCTTGGACATCTACATTGGGTGGTTGGGGAAGGTGCACAATGATGCGTCTTCCAGAATTCATGCTTGTTCCAGAAGATGCGCGCCGGCACTTTTTCTCCAACTGCACAATCAGGGTTGGGATGTGGACATGCCCATTGTCATTCTGGGTGATACAGCCTCCTCCTTGCTCCACTGGCTTAGGAAGCTCTACTAGGTCAGCCTGGCCTCCACCAAGGAGAACTCCAATACTAGGCTGAATAGATGCCACATGGTGGTGAAGTGTGCCTTTGACTGCTTAAGGGGTAGGTGTAGGAGTCTCTTTACCTGCCTGGACCCCCATAAGGACGACATCCCCTTTGTGGTGGTGGACTGCGGTGTGTTCCACAGTCTTTGCGAGAGCAAGAGGGAGACTTTCCTGCCAGGGTGGGGGGGCAGTGGCTGAACAGCTGGCCAAGGCTTACGATAGCTGAACACCTGTGCCATTCAATGAGCACATCAAGGGGCTTTGATCATCTTGGAGGTCTTGAGGGAGAGTTGCTGCCCAGGCCAGTTGTGACACTCTCTCCCGGCCTCTCCACAAGCAGTCCCTGCTTTCCCTCTGTGTGCATTTCCTTCCCCTTCCTCCCTTCCCCGGCCCTCCCTTTCCAGTTCCCTCCCTCCCCTGCAGAGCAAATAAAGAATACTCCTTTTTTTTTTTTTTGGACAAACAAGTCTGTTTACTGGGGGGCATATAAAACAAGGGAGGGAATAGGAAAAGAACCTATTCTTGGGGGAGGGGTGGTCAGGGATGGGGTTGGGAGTGATGCTTGCCCTGTTCAGCTCAGGAGGCTTTGGCTGCCTTTGAAGTCCCACTACCATATATTCTGGGGCCCTGGCAGCTAGTTGGGGAAGCCAGTGGGTCAGGCTAGGGAGGTGGCTGATGGCCTGCTCCATGCACGAAACCATGTGTTCCATCACAGAGGTAAGAGGGGAGTACATGGCCTTGTGCTGGCTTGCCAGCTAGTCCAAGGTGGCCTTCTGCTGTTTCCAGTCAGCCTGGTGCTCCTCCTGGTCAGTGGCCCACTCCCAGCTCTCTTTATCAAGCCCCTGAATGAGGGACTGGAAGCATTTCCTCATGCAGCAGATCCTCACGAGTTCTCTTACCCTGGGGATCCTGCAGAGTTGGGAGGATGGCTTGGGAGGTGGTGGATGCACTACACTCATAGCTGGCTCAGCTGTGAAGGAGTTACAAGGACAGTCGTTCCAGAAGACAATGTGCGTGAAGCTTAGCTCTAATCTCTGAGCCAACACTGAAGGTCTTGGTTCAGACAATGGTGATGTGCTTTGAGCAAGGCCATCTGTTGCCTAGACAGTGGGTGCTTTCTAGCAGGGGCACAGATGTCCCAGGGGAGCAACACTACACCCATGGCCCAGGGAAGCAGGCATGGAAAAATGCCAGTCAGGCCAGGAAACTGAGAGCGAGAGACGGGGCAGTTCAGCTTCCTATTGTGTCCCGCGACATCCTGCACAGAGAGAACTTTTATCCCTGCCTGTTGGAGGAGGTGGAAGAGTGTTCGGGGACAGTGTGTTTGCGGCAGAGGCCACTTTCCAGAAGAGAGTGCTACTGGGGTCCCCTTCTTTGCTTCCCCTGGGAGGTTCCCATGCAGGGGATCGGTCACCCTGGTATCACCGCACTTGACTGGGAGCAGATGCTGCCCAGTTGTGGGCATGACCCTGTGCGGTTCTGCTGTGTAGTTCCATGACCCAACAGATCCTAGTGGTGGCTTGTCATGGGAAGTTGTCCTACCCAGAAGTTGCAATAAGGCAGGCTTCTCCAGGAACCTTGTAAGAAGAACCAAGTTGATCCTGTGTGAGAGCGTCAGGGAGCAGAGTGCTCTGGACTGGTGCTCCATATGCACACAGATGACCAGGCTATTGTGCAACCCCGAAGCTGGATAGGTCGAGAGAGGAGCACACAGCCCCTGGCAACCTGCCTCCTACCCCCCATATGTAGCTAGGGAAAGTTATAGATCTCACCTGAAGTGCCTTCCCTGGGAGACATCCAACACCTGGGAGACATCCTGGGAGGGGGGACCAGCTCCAGGGTGAGGAGCAGGTCCTGGCTTGTGGGCATGGTCACATGGTCCTCTTCCTCCTCCTTCCCCTCCACAACCCCACCCTTATGGAGGCTGATGCCGGATGTGTCCTGGCAATACTTGATGTTGATGGGGAATTGGGGCAGAGATGACCAGCCCCCTTCCCAGGATGGCATCAAGCTGGTCATACTAACAGTATGTGTGAAGTGCCGACCAGAGCATCCACTCTGCTCCCTGGCCTTATTGTAGGCCTGCCGGAGCGCCTTTATTTTCATGTGGACCTAGTCCTTTTTTAGCCAGATTGGCAGCCATCCAGACATAGACACCGGCATTCTTTTTTCTGGTGCAGAGATCCTGGGGGTTGAT